AAAGAGTTAACTGGTATTTTCAGTTAGATGTTTTCAGGCATTCAAGTTTCCCAAGGTCAAATATTTCATTTGGAAAAGGCAGATTTAATGTGAATTTCCTATTCTTTCCAATTTAACATTCCAGAGAGTTCTTCACCATTTCTGTTTGTGGTCACTATCTCCTTTTTGATGACTCTTTGCCCCTCTTTCCTCACACTCATTCTTTCTTTTCCCCTCTTGTCTCTCAGGTCCAAGCAGAAATAAAGAAGTCATGGAGCAGGTGGACATTAGCACTTGACTTTAAAAGGAAAGCACGAAGTGGGAGCACAACCTACAGTTATGGACCAATGGTTTCCCACACCAGCATCACAAATGTAGCCACAAGAGGGGCACTTGCCCTCCATCTTAATACGAGACTTATACCAGGGACCCTCAATGGACACCGGAATTTGCCAGGTTATGTAAAAAATGGCTCCATTTCTGAAAACTCCATGCCTTCTTCTGGACCAGAGCAATACAACAAAGATGAGGAGTACCTGAATGGCTCTGGGCTTTACGATGGAGACAGACCCACAGTACTTGTTGAAGAAGAGAGAGAGACAGTGATGTAAAAAAAGAGGAGGAGAAAAAAAGAAACAAAAGGATGAAAAAGATTCCTGGAGAGCATTTAGTGGGCAAAAGAATATCAGGCCACGCACTGGATGCCAAGGGTTTCCATATGGTTTCTCTGTTCTGTGGAACAAGAGGTTAAGTTATATGGGGAAAAAAAGTGAGCCACCAAAGTGGCCAGCTGTCGATCACATACATATACTCAGTGATCTAAGTCTCCCTAGTGTTCGTGGAGGCAGGGCTATCCAGACCCATGGGCCTGCTGAACAACAGAGATACTGAGAGTTTACAAGGGAGGGTTGCAAAGCAGCACGTGGTCCTTGGACCTCTTGGAGAATGTGGGCAGCCAAGGAGGACCGGAGTCTCACCCAGTAAAGCAAGAGTCTTGTGGGGAGTGTACAGTGCCATCTTCTTGTGAGGGTACAAGCCACCCTGAGCATCAGCATCTTCAGTTTG